AACACCGTTAAATAAAATATATTTTCGTCTCAATGCATTTTTCATCAAGAGCAAAAGCAATAAAAGACTATATTAATCTGAGTATATGGACGCGGCCTGCGGGAAGGCCAGGGGGGAGGCATGCAAATCCCTTTAATGAGCATTTTGTCAGTGTTCCCTTCTCTAAAACAATATCCCAGACACAATATTAAAGCCGTTTCTGTTTTAAATAAAGCAAAAATAAAACATTTCCGTGTATAATTAAAAGCTGGCCTCTCGCCTCTGGGCATCTGCCGGAGCCCGAGACGGTGAGAGGAGACGAGAAGCAGATCCGAGTAATGGACGATGGCAGTGAAAGTGCACCTTCCGCAGACGCCGTGTGGAATGCGCTTTTTTGTTGTTTTTTTTTCTAGTTGTGCGTCTGGCGTTGGCGTTGTGCGTCTGGCCTCGCTCCTGTCATCTTAAAGAGCAGCAGACACGGCGCTCGCTCTGCAGATTTATGGGCTGTTAACGTTTGTCGGTTTGTTTTGACGGAGCTCCAAGAAGAATCAGACCAAACTCCCCCCAAAAAAACAGTCGGAACATGTGGAGAGAGGTGCCGTAGAGGAGCTCAGAATCAGAGATATTGTATTGCCATTGTGTAAGTAACAGGAAGTCACACTCTGAGTTTGCTTTGGCTCAAGCTGCAAACAAGTTGTAAAAGTAAAAAGGTAAAGGCAAAAACATCTTCATAAAATGTGTTAGATTTACTACATACAAGTGCACTATAAGTACTAATAGAGCCACATTAGCTGCTGAAACATGCAGTATCCCTCCTCGGTCTATCATTAATGTCACGTTGACATGGAAATTGACAATAATTAATGTACAAATAAAAAATAATTGGTAAGTATAATCTTTATTTGTATTACGCCTTTCACAGAGCAGAGTCACAAAGCACTTCACAGTTGTTGGCACTTGTCTCTCAGTCCACATAGAGGTGGGAGTGAGATACATGTCAGAACTATTGTACATGTTTTAGGGGTAGGGGAAACCGGAGCACCCAGAGGAAACCTATGAAGAACATGTAAACTCCACTCTGAAAGGCCCTGTTCAGACCAGGATTCGAACCCAGGACCTTGTTGCTGAGAATTGAGAGTAAACATTAACATTTAAACATTTTACATTACTTTTAAAACATTTCACTTTCCAAGTCTACTCCACTCATACACATAACTCCATAATTGCAAAAATGCTAATAAAAGCTTAACAAACAAGCATTACACAGGACAGAATAATCACACACATAAAGTAATGTGACAAATCCATAAAAAGTCACCAGCTCTGTATAAAAGGAGATGAGCTTCACACCTTTAAGAATCTATTTTAATCTCCTCTAAATAGTGACTCTGTGGATCGTCCGGCCAGCGCCCGGAGGCTCGCGGGTCAAGTTTAGAGATAGTTTAGAGATAGTTCTGAGCAGATGGTGTTTGCCGTCTGTCACTCAGGAGGAGCAGAGAAGTCACTTTGCAGACTGCATTGACGTGTGTGTCTCCGTATTGACCTGAACTCCTCCTAAAACCTTTCCAAAATGACACACTTAAGGTCAAAGCGGCAGCAGAAGACTCCAAATACCACTTATTCACTCGCTGAAACATTTATGAAGATCCGAGTGGCTCCCGTCCATCCATGTAGAATTGGAAATCAATTGTTTTTTGACTTTTTTCTCCAAACAACTTAAAGTACTCATTAATGTTGTAAAGTGCAGAGGATTGTGTTTAACGTGTTTCTATCCTCTGATCCCGTAATGATGTGTTTAAATCGGCTACATTCTTGATCTTCTCCGGAGCCTCGTATTCCTCTCTGTTTGAAGTCCTCTTGTCAGATTCTCCAGGATGTAGGTCTAAGTTTAAGTCATGGATCTATAATAATAACTGGATAGGGGGTCACTATAGCTTATAGCTGAAGGTCTCATGTGGTTGGGCTTCCCATGGTACTGCACACCATCCATCCATCCATCTTCTTCCCCTTTGTCCATTTCTGGGTCGGGGGGGAGGGGGGTTGTAATCAGCTGCCACCCAATTCACTGAGCACCAGCCCCTCACTGATCCTCCTGCAGGTGGTGAGTCCACATTAGGAAGGCTAAACTGTCACAGCCTTGATTTTTTAGCGGGGCGGAGTTAAGTGTCTTGCCCAAGGACACAACAACAGCAGACATCAGTGGGAGTCAGTGGAGAAGGTCTCATGGTGGGCCCGAACCCACGACCTTCAGGCTCAAAGGCCAATGCTCTACCGACTGAGCCACTGACCACTCAGTACTGCAGACTAAAAAAGACTACATTCGCTACCAAGAAGTCCCATAGAACTCAATGTAAACTAAAACAGCTCGACCTCAGCTGACAAAGAACCTACAGTATTCAAAAAGGTCAGATTTAGTGGGGATTTCAGTGTCCCTTGTCATCCTGAACTTTTTTGTTGTTAAATCCATCGGTTTTCTTTAAATCCACACTTTAATGCCACAAACTCTGCTCGAATGTCTCCCTCTCTAGCTCTGAACTAGCTTCGCTTTGATCGCCAGCTCTGATTGGTCAAAACGTGTCCCCACTGTGCACATGCATGAGAGACATACACGCATGCTCGCTAGTATTTGGGTTAGGGTTAGGGTTAGCATCATGGGAGGTTGTCCACTGTACAGAACCGCGTAGACCAGAGCAATGACCAAACATGGGGGAGTTCCGCTGATCTTTCCGTGCCCATGTTGGTCCCATACACCACCGAGCACAAGCCATCTTTTTGAATACGCCGCCATCTTGAAACGCTGGGGCTTGGTTTAAGTTCACTTCCTCCCACATGGTTCAAGTGGGATTTTCTGGGATGAAGAAAGAGCAGGGTGTGAAAAGAGCCAAAACAAAACAAATGCTCACTGGTGCTGGTGGGAGGCGCTGTGACAAACACGTAAAATGCCATAAATTTAGTTTGACTTTTGTGTGTGAGATGTTGGGAAGTCATTGCTGCAATACAGTGTTCAACGTCCAAACCAGGTGGATCAGCCGCTAATTCCACTGGAGGATTTTTTTTTTTTTTAAAGGCCAACAAAGCATTCAGCATTTTACTTTGGACCAGAGCAGAGAAAATGGTCCGAACCAAGCGGCTGGATGGAAGTGTTTCTGCTGCTACTGGACAACTGTATTTCTCCTATACGGGAATCAATAAAGTACTGTATCTATCTATCTATCTATCTGAGTGATGGATCTTTCAAATTATGGCACAGATGCACGACATGTGAGGTCAGGTCGGCAGTGTTTGTAAGTCCTCATTGTTCGTTGTGCAGTCTGACAGCAGCAGGCAGGAAAGACCTGCAGAACCTCTCCTTCACACAGCGAGGGTGGATCAGTCTGTCGCTGTAGCTGACTAATGCGATGTACCGTGTTTGACACAGGTTTGCAGCCCACATCCATCACCGCTGCTCTCCTCATGGACTCATTATTGTTATGTTGACTAAGCCACTGGGGTGATTAGCATTTTAGATTGCAACGCATCCACAGGTGACTTCACCGTCATCAAAACAACAGACGCCGAAGTCAAAGCTCAATGTTACATTTACTTTCAGATCGACAAGTGCAGATGAAGGAGCAGGCTTTTGTTTCTGTGTCCTCTCTGTGTGTTCTGCTGACGGCTCACACTCACTTCTTTAGATAAAATCTAATATAAAAATCTAAATATAGATAGATAGATTGATACAGTAGATAGATATATACAGTAGATAGATAGATACAGTAGATAGATATATACAGTAGATAGATAGATACAGTAGATAGATATATACAGTAGATAGATAGATACAGTAGATAGATATATACAGTAGATAGATGGATACAGTATAGATTGATAGATACAGTAGATAGATACAGTATATAGATATATACAGTAGATAGAGATCGGTGTCAAGGTTGTGGATGGAGTAGCCCATGGTGGTGGTGGGGTTATGGTATGGGCATCTGTTTTGGTCGAAGAACACAGGTGCACTTTATTGATGACATTGTGAATGCACAGAGATACCGTGATGAGATCCTGAGGCCCATTGTTGTGCCATACATCCATGAACATCACCTCATGCTTCAGCAGATAATGCACGGCCCCATGTTGCAAGGACCTGTACACCATTCTTGGAAGCTGAAAATGTCCCAGTTCTTGCATAGCCAGCATACTCACCGGAGCATGTATGGGATGTGCTTGACCGGCATATACGACAGCGTGCACCAGTTCCCACTGATATCCAGCAGCACAGTCATTGAAGAGGAGTGGACCAAAATTCCACAGGCCACAATTGACAATCTGATTAACTCTATGTAAAGATGTGTTGCACTGCACGAGGCAAATGGTCACACCAAATACTGACTGGTTCTGAGTCCCGAGACCCCCAATAAAGCAAAATAATGCACATTTCAGAGTGTTCTTATATTGTGGACAGTCTAGGGCACACCTGTGCACTAATCATGATGTCGGATCAGAATCTTAATGTGGCACACCGGTGAGGTGGGATGGATTATCTGAGCAAAGCAGAAGTGCTCACTATCACACATTTAGATGTCTCTCACCATGTTTGAGAGAAATGCTAATATTGTGTATCTAGAATTAATTTTAGATCTTTAAGTCCATCTCATGGAAAATGGGCGCAAAAACAAAAGTGTTGCGTTTATTTTTTTGTTGAGTGTAGATAGATAGATAGATTGATATAAAATGCAGGTGTTCAGAAGCAGAAACACATCCATCCACACAAACAACTAGTACAACATTACTCTACACACTTTATAATAAATAATACACACTTAAGAATCAGAATAAGAATCATTCTTATTGCCATTGTGAGAAACAAGAATTCAAAAACTAAGAAACTGCTTTGGCTCATAATACATAATATTTCTTAAATGTACTACTATTTACAAGTGCACTAAATACACACAATAGACATAGTTTAGCAGCGCATTAAAGTGACAGTAAAGTGACTGTAAAGTGACAGTAAAGAAGAGTTCATGTTATTATTAGCTCTGTCTGTGAGGACCTGGACCTCCTTGTCTGTCTGTGAGGGCCTGGGCCTCCTTGCCTGTGTCTGTGAAGGCCTGGACCTCCTCACCTACTCCTGTGAGGCCCTGGACCTCCTCGCCTCCGTCTGTCAGGGCCTAGACCTCCTTGTCTATCTGTGAAGGCCTGGACCTCCTCAGCCTCAGACCTGACTCAAAGAAAACCAAGTGTGTAGTCAGAAATCAGATGTAAATAAGTGTGTGTTTATATTGTGTCTCTTTGAGGTTAGTGGTGTTGCTTTTTTACCTGTATTTTAAAAGCTAATAAGACCATTTTATGCATCAATTCTTTATTCAGTTCTTTAGAATATGCAGTATTTTATAATCGCTTCTTTGTAATGCAGAAGTTAGAGATGTTATTTCATTCTATTATAGTTATTGTTCATGTATCTCGTGCTGTGTGCTCCTCATTCCTATACGTTTCTGTAACTGCTGATGCAACACATTTCCCCGCTGTGGGGCCAATAAAGGATCTCTTCATCTTTATCTTAATTCTTTGCACACTAAATAAATTAATAATAAATGTTCTAAAGTTAGATCTGAGGCCCAAACACAAACAGTCGGTGAGTGACTCCTCTCGTGTTTCTGACAATGGCAACTTCAGGCTCTGTGTTGCTTTGGGAATACACATGTGTAGAAACAGTCAACAGTGTGGGCTGATGAGGGAGGGGCTGGTGATGAGGGGGGGGGGGGGGGGGGGGGCTGCTGAGGGCCTCTATCACAGACTCAGGTTTCTCCATCTGGAAGAGGCTGTGGTCACATGTCTCCCCAGGCCCCCCCACAGACCGCAGCCTGTGCCCTTCAGAGGAGCAGGGGAGATGTCCGGACGCCGTGGAGGATGCTCTGTTTGGGTTTGAGGCCGGTGTGAGGATGTCAGTGGCTTTACGCACCGTTCCTCTGCTCAAATAAACTACTCATGAATCACGAGAGGGGACCTGCATTTATCCAGCCTGGTCGTACCATATCATCATACTTATTGCATTTACTAAGGTCTGGAACTGGTCCATCGAGCTCCGTGAACCGGTGTGAGGGGTTAACTCTTCTTGCAGATTGAAACGATTGGATCTGAGTTTACCTTGATGTGTGTAATGCCCCCGAATGACTCGTTGGCATTTAGCTTTAGCCATCTCCTTTGCCGCTAACGGAGCCTGTAGGGAGTAGCGCCACAATCTTTGCCAGCAATTACATTTACTAAACATTCCTCTTGCTCCTGCTTCAATTTCTTGATAGAACCAGAACAGAATACTTTACTATCGCATTCTTCGCCATTGCCAAACTACAACCAGCCAATTCGGCACATTCTTGACGTCACCCACATCTAACTACAACACCGGCCTACGCGCTCGCTGATTGGTCGGAGGGGATTCAACCGATGTAATTGCTGACACTGGGACTAGACCCAGACGGTAAATGCAGGTAAATGATAATTGACCGGAGTCTACAGATGGGTACGGAAGGCCAGGCTAGCATTTATTCAGCAGTGGGAACTTTCAGTCTGTCAATTCAATTCAATTCAATTCAATTTATTGTTGTGCAGCCCTAAATCACAACAGTAGTTATCTGAGAATCAAACCGTTCGAACACAGGAAATGCAATGATCACAAACCCACAGAGCATAGGGGCACAGTCCACGAGGGGCAGAGACCAATATCCATAAACGTTGTTGAATGTGGAGTGTCCTGGATCATCACCTCTGTCCTTGGACCCTCCTGTATCAGTGAGAAAAAACTCTTAAAAACTGGAAACTGGAATGTTCTCTCGGGAAGCACGGACCCCACCAACCCCACGGTTCATCTCGAAATGTACATGTTTTCTTTCTACCTTCAAATCCCAACCTACAGGTCCCAAAATCTGACCAGTCACTTCTGTGCATTCTTGCCTTAAAGTACTTCCATGTCAAGCGTTTTTCTGTGTTATCTGGCTGTTCATATCCCATAGTCTTCCATTTATTACGGAGATAAGTAGGAAGTTTGACGTTGATTCTAATAGCCCTTGTTGGGACGGACATTGAAACTTAGCCTTGGCTGTTGTGTAGTGTTTTAGTACTTCACATGTTGATTGTGTACACTTATCCCTATCAAATAAATACATAATTTTCATTCTAACAGGCGAGACATATTAATCGGGAGAAATATCTGACTTTCAGTGCTAATAATCTAAATCTAATCATTTGGAAGAATCCCTAAATGGGGGTGTTTCCTTCCAAAATAATGGTATCTCTCAGAATGTGAAATATAGAACCAGTTATCACTGTCACTGTGTCCCAGACCCTGACACTGCTACATGTACAGATGTGAACATTCTACTACATACTACAACTATATATTTCTGCACTAGAACATGCAGAACGAATACTTTAGTATAGTTATTCATTTAAATATTAACGGATGTAGCGCCTATCTCCGCCGTTGAAACTGATCATTTTGGCTTCTGTGGGACCTTTTCAAAATGGCCGCAGGCAACTCCTTCTGCAGGAAAATGTGAAAAAACGCATTTGCACATGTGTTAGCCGGCACCAGCCCCATTCATTTAACAAGTGCCTTCTGAAGTCCACAGCGGCTAAACTAGACTGGTCAAAAAAAAAATGTCTCTCCTCAGCATTGACACACATGTGGAACAGAGCTTTGGGCCAAGAGCGACTTTTGGACCATCCTGTAAAGATGTTTTTGAGAGGAAAGAAGACGCCATACAAAAACATTGGATAATTATCTTTCTGGGTCCACCCCCACGGGCCCGAGGTGGTATTGCAAGTACTGTATGTCAGCGCACATACTCATATTTTTGAGCCGGGACCCACCCCCACTGGTCCCAGGGCAGCCTCAGGACTGGGGTGCAGGGCGGGCAGAGGACCTGGGGCGCAGGGCGGGCAGAGGCTGGTGATGCGATGAGCTGTGGTACTCATCCATCACGACCACTTACCCGCCATAGGATCTGCTCTGTAGCCGAGGGGGAAATCCAGTTATGGACCCACATCTGCTGAGATCCGCGTCTTCATTAGTGCAGCTTCTGAGACAGCAAATGTATCAGGACTCACACGGTGCCTGGTCATGAGACTATGGATATGAGGGCTATACAACAGCACACAACAGAGACACACATGTACATTAGTGTGTAAAACGTGCATACAGGATAGATAGATTCTTCATTGATCCCTGTTGGAGAAACGCAGAAGTCCAGAAGTAGAAACATATCCATCCAAGCAAACAAATAATACATACTGTAATTCTATAAGTTACCAACAATAGTATTAAAGTGCAACAGCAGTAGAGATGGTGGAGCCGCTGGTGGTGCTGCTTCCTCTTGTTGATGTTTGCAGAGTCTGTTTGGTTCGGGCCACTCTCTCTGCTCTGGTTCAGAGTTAGCCTGGCCATAGCCATCCGTACACTCCGCTCAATCATCATTTCACTGCATGTAGCGTCTGGGTCTGGTCCCTGTGTTAGCGAATACAATTGGTTGTATTTCGACCGGCTACCCAGAGAGCGTTGTTGTTGTAGGTTGTTGTAGGTCGGTGCCGGTGACGTCAAGAGTTTGCGCCGAACGGGCAGGTTGTAGTTTTGCAGTGGCGAAGAATGCGATAGTAAAGTAATCCGGTCTGGTTCTATCAAGAAATTGAAGCCGGAGCAATAGGAATGTTTCGCAAATGTAAATCGCTGGTTAAGATTGTGGCACTACTCCCCACAGGCTCCGTTGGCAGCAGAGGAGATGGCTAGGCTAAATGCTAACAACTCACTCGGGCGCATTACATACGTCACGGTAAACTCAGAACCAATCGTTTCAATCTGCAAAAGGGGTTAACCCCTCCTATCTGTTCACGGAGCTAAATGGAGCAAATCCAGACCTTAGTATGAAATGAAATTTGTACTATGGTGTGGTACGACCAGGCTAGTTCAGAGTGAAATTCTGAATAATTTATTAGCATTTTTCATAATAATATTCCTCCAGTGGATTTCCTCTCCATCTGTTTGGTTGGGACCATCCTCTCTGGTCTGGTCTGGATCAGTGTAAAACCACAAACACTGTAGTCACATTTACAGATAGAAAATCCCAAGAAAAATAACAACTGTAAAACACAAAACAACGGCTGTTTCAGAGCGACTCAGGATTCTGCCGTTTCCAGAACGTTACATGGCACGTGATATGAGCATTAATATAAGACGTCTAAATGAAAACACTGTATTTTTAAAAGTGTATTTTTGGGTTCGCTTCTCGTTGAGTTTCCCTAAATGCTAACGTTCATTTCCCAGCGTTTATCATTCGTCATTCAAGCAACATCCTCTTCTCCTGAACGCTGCTACTGCACTATTAGCCTCAATGTATCGGAGTTGTTTTTAAAGCAGATAGTATTGTATCTGTACATCTGTATTTGATCAAACATCACACAAAAACAGACTCTGAGTGGGAAACTAAAGCATCATTAATGGGAAAAACTGACAAATCTGAAATATAAAGTTGATCTGGCTGAGAACTGGACTTTTTGGGACTTTAGTGAATACTTATTGTTACTTTAGTACATTCTTATTGGTACTTCAGTAAATTCATATTGGTATTTTAGTGAATACTTATTGGTACTTTAGTAAACTCCTTTTGCTGACTAACAACAAAACTTATTCATTGGGTCCATTTGAATGTCAGATCCAGTCGCCATGGTAACTGTTTTACAGCGGGGGAAATAAAAGATATAGGATATAAATGGACAGAGATCTCGTTTACTTGTAAATATATGATTTGTTGCTGACTGCGCACTCTGCCTCCGCACAAACAGAGAGCTGTGAAAGTGTGGACGGTTTCCAACGTTTATAAAGTACACAGCACATATACAAGTACACAGCACATATACAAGTACACAGCACATATACATCATCCGACTCGGAACGCAGTCCTGGTATTTATCAAGTACCATATACAGTAGTTTCATTTCTGCAAAGTCCGCCTGTTGTCCATGAATAAGATCAGGAAGATTCATCTTGTCTTCTTAGTGGAATTAAAAGTGTGGGTTCTAGGGTAATAATAACCTTGTATTGTCTGGTAAAGAAGAACCCAATACTTGTAATTGTAGTAGTATAGATTTCTATTTATCTATTTGGATATGGTTTAAGTTTATTTTCCAGTTTTATTTTGCAACTTGTTAGCCCTGTGTTTTCCTTAGTTCTACTTCCTGTTGTGTGATGCCCCGCCCTCATGTGTCTCACCTGTGTCTCGTTAGTCGTTGGTGTATTTAAACCCTGTGTGTTCCTTCACTTCCTGTTCCGTTATTGTCAATGCCGTGTCTCTTTCAGTTCTTGTCATCCCTGTTTTGGTGACTTTGTGTTGTCTACCCTGAATTTTGGATTATTAAATGTATTATTTTTTGCAGTTCTGCATTTTGGTTCCGTTCTTTTTGCCACATGACATTTTTACCTACTTTTCACCTACATTTTCACTTACCCTGGTTTTGTTGTCTGGTTAGTTCTGTGATGGGAGACCTCTGGGAGCTCCAGGTGCCACAGTGGGGCGGCTGCGGCTGTAAAGTGCCAAACTGTGGTTGCGTCCTTTGGCAAGACACTTCACCCACATTGACTAGAATGAGTCTTGTGTGAGTGTGAGTGGTTGTCGGAGGGCCCGATGGCTCAGACTGGTTGCCTCGTTTCTGTCAGTGTGCCACAGGGCAGCTCTGGCTACAGTGGTAGTTCATCACCACTGTATTTGGAGTATGTGAAGCATCTTTGAGTGTCCAAAAAAGTACTATATAAAACCGATGCATTAATATCTAGAGTAGATATGTGTTTGTTTACTATGATATATTCCAGTAGTTTCCTCATTCGGGCAGACGGTTTCAAACGGCTGCAGGTGGTATCGGTGGTTTTTCATTGTATATGTCACATTTACTGATTAATTAAAGGAGCTATACCCGTTTCTGCAAGGTTTGAATGTTTAGCACCGCCCTCAACTCGCTCACAGGCTTCTCATTTCCCCTACGCTCTGATCCCACGGAGCCATCTAGTTTTATTTGCGATCTATATGCAAACATTAGCATGAGAGCAACTTCTTGTAAGCTGTACAACAATCACTGATGAAATGGTACAAAATCAACGCACTGTTAACAAAATAAAGTACTGAAAGATTACCGCAAGTTCCGCGTCCGAATGTGGTCCGAGCATAGAAAGTCCGAGGCGGTCCCGCAGGTCTCTCCCATAGACAAGTCTCTCCAGAGGGTACAATGTAAGCTAGCTATGTTCACCCGGCCGTCTTTTTTTGCTGTAGAAGCTAGAGGACGCCGCCTCTTACTGTGATTGGAGGAGAGCAGCGTCACGCTAAGTCTCTACTCAGCACTTTTTATGGACCGAATTCATACACAGCTGAATCAATGAGCACAAGTTTTCAATTTAACTACGGATTTTAATACAACTTGTATATAGTAATAAGCATTTTTATGAACTCAATTTAAAAAAAAAAAATTGGGTAAAGATTCTCACACTTTGATTGTATCACAGCTCTCGGTTGTTTTCCTTGTTTTTGCCCTCGGCCTGTATAGCAATTCCACAACAGTTTACTCAAGCTTATCTTAGCTTGGGCGGCACGGTGGCTGAGTGGTTAGCAATTTCACTTCTCAGTAAGAATGTCCTGGATTCGAATCACAGTCGGAACAGGACCTTACTGAGTGGAGTTTGCATGTTCTCCCCGTGTCGGCGTAGGTTTCCTCTGAGTGCTCCGGTTTCCCCTACCACTAAAAACATGTACAATAGGTCTGACATGCACCTCCTGTACTGGCGACCACGCTCCCAGTGTGGAGTGGGAGACAAATTCCCACAAATAACAAATGTAAAGCGCTTTGTGACTCTGGTCTGAGAAAGGCTCTATATAAATACAGATTACTTACTTACTTACTTAGAGCTTAGATTAATCCAAAGGTAAAGAGGCCCAAAAGGCGTCATTCCAAAAGCTGCAACAATGACTTTTCTGTGAATTCTCGTCCTATATAAGGTAAGTATTTTCTTGCAGACAGTTGTGTGAAGTGAATGATGGCACTTAGTGAGAAGGAGCGTCCACGGTCCATTGAGCCGCGTCCCTCGAGCAGGACCCCTATGTTCTGAGGAGGAGGATGTCCACGCTGCGGGTGCTTCCTCCATTCGGCTCTTATTTCACTTTATCTACTGTCATCTGAACACAACACTGTGGGCTGTGATGTTACGTGTGAAGTTTGAACTCAGAAAGATAATATTATGATTTGCTATTAGACATTATCAGCTGTGCAAAAAGCCCGGATCCATGTCGAGTTGCCTTAAAAATACAAAATGTTATAAACAGTTATTAAAATGAAAGCAGATACAGAAATGAGTATCAAATGTACAATTATGGACATTTATCAACACTTGTGCACATTGATCAACATTTACGGACATTGGTCATCTACCCCTTATGCACCAATACCAATGTGTTTTCTGTTCTATTTCTTGTGTTTGATTCTCTGATCTGTGTTGGCAAATTCGACAGTCCTCTGAGATAACTACTGCTGTGATTTAGGGCGATACAAGAATACATTGAAATGAATGTAACACACAGAGTTTGTACTTTCTCTACCTAAACCCTGATAAGTGGTTTGAATCTCACTCTGAACCAGAGCAGTGAAAATGGCCCGGACCAAATGGACCACCTCTGCTGCTGCTGCTGCACTTTATTACTATTGTTAATCACTTTTAGAATTACGTAAAATATTTGTTTGGATGGATGTGTTTCTGCTGCTGGACACCTGCATTTGTCCTTCAGGGATCAATAAATCTATCTATCTCTATCTATCTATCTATCATATATACATATTTGTCAGATGCAGGAAGATTCTAGCAACAAGAGTTAGTGTAATACTGACTTTATAACCCATCACTCGGGAAAACTACATAGAACCTACATAGGGCAGCATGGCTGAGTGGATGGCACTCCTGCTTCTCAGCAAGAAGGTCCTGGGTTTGAATCCCAGTTGTAACAGGGCCTTTCTGAGTCGAGTTTGCATGTTCCCCCCCATGCCTGCGTAGGTTTCCTCCGGGTACTACGGTTTCCCCTACCACTAAAAACATCCACACTAGGTAAAATCCTCCAGCTCCGGTAGTCCTGACCAAGCTGAGCATCAACATCTGGAGATGGGTTCCCGGGCGCTGTTACTACGGCGACCACTGCTCCTGACGTAAGTCTTAGTGACGTGGGTCAAATGAAGAGGAGGAATTGCCCTCAATAAAGTGCACCTTCACCTTTGCCTTTACCAAATAAATGTAAAAAGTGTATTTTGTCTTATGTTTAAGACTTAATGAGACAACAAAGTAAAGAAGCTAGTCCTGCTTATTTCCCACATGTTTCAACTCTACTGTTCTGCCTTCGTCAGAGGTGACACGTGATGGTGTGACGCGACTCTTATCAGCTGTTGTTACCAGATGTGATCAGTCTGACAGATCCGTCACTGGCCGCATCCGGTAATTAAGCAGTAATAGCTTTTTTTACTTTTGTTAGTTTTATTAAAAGAACCTTCAAATCCTTATACAGAGACAATCTTTTACATAAAGAGATCCATCACATCAAGAGGACGTTGTTCCCGAATCGTTCACAGTCACTTTGCTTCACACGCACAGATGTTTTATTATCAGTGACACGTAGAGCCTGAGAATCAGAGCTCCATCTCCCCTCATCACTGCCTCTTCACACTTAATATCCATTCATGTACAGATGCGTCTCAAGCAGCGGTCCAGATCCAGCGATAGCCAGCTCTGAAGGACCTTATCTGACAGTGGAGCCATGCTGGTGTGTTGAAGTTCCACTCTCTCTCTCTTCATACGACCACGATGATGATGACTACTATTATTATTGTTATTATCATTCTGGGGCAGCTTCAAGGCTCGGCACTCATCTATCACCTGAGTGGACCATGTGGGCACCTGAGTGGACCATGTGGGCTCCTTCACACACTTTGAAAAGACGTCCTGTGAAAAGGCACCATTAAGATCGCTATCGTCACGGAGCAAAGTAATTCTGTTGCTGCTTATTTCAGGCTCTTTTCAAAGTGTTTTTATGTCAGAGATTATCGAGGAGCAGTGTTGGGGAGAATACTTCGACAATGTACCGGAAAACAGAATACATGACCTACAATTTATGTTGAATAGTTTTCCGTTACTTCCGGTACTCAGGAAAAAGTACGGGTATTCCGAATACTTTTATATGTACTTTTAACTATTATTTTTGTATTAATTATATTTACTGTAAATTAAAGTTTATTTACAAAACATATTGGGGAACATTTCATAATATTTAAAACCTCAATAAATGTTTAAATAAAGTAATGTTCTGTATTTTTTTTTTTTTTTGGTTAAACAAGTCAAATTGATTCAACAGCTGCATTTAACTACCAGAAGAAAAATAATTTTTAGAAGTTTTTTTTTTACATACGTACATACTTTTTAACGTCATGTGAAAAAGTATGTATTCTTGTGATTTTCAGAAAGTAACTGTATTCTGAATCTGCACTTTTAAGTAGTACTCAGTAAGAGCAATCTGAATACGAAACGGCGATACATGTACTCAAGTTATTCTCTACCACTGTCAGGGAGTGTAGAGGTCAATTGAAGTGTTATTAAATTTCAACCATTGGCTTCAACTTAATTCAATTCAATGTATTTTTATATCGCCCTGAATCACAGCAGTAGTTTTCTCAGAGCACACAAAAGACCAGACCTTAGACCCTCTTGCATCCACAAGGACCAGGGCATTAACATTGTGCACCAATATACATTTCTGTAATTGCACCAGAATTAGCCAAGTACCTCACTCTGCAGTCCCTGGATGTAGGCCTAAGGAAAAAAATCATACAATAATAAAAATGCAGTAAAACACAGCACATAGGAAAGAGCAAGAAAAACATACATCACACAATAAATACACAGTTCACATACAACTAGAGATATTTACAAAGCATTCAGAAAAGCAGAGATAGACACTAGCACTTAAAAAAAATATATATATACAGTGCCTTGCGAAAGTATTCGGCCCCTTGAACCTTTCAACATTTCGCCACATTTCAGGCTTCAAACATAAAGATATAAAAATATAATTTTTTGTCAAGAATCAACAACAAGTGGGACACAATCGTGAAGTGGAACGAAATTTATTGGATAATTTAAAAATGTTTAACAAATAAAAAACTGAAAAGTGGGGCGTGCAATATTATTCGGCCCCCTTGCGCTAATACTTTGTAGCGCCTCCTTTTGCTGCAATTACAGCTGCAAGTCGCTTGGGGTATGTCTCTATCAGTTTTGCACATCGAGAGACTGGAATTCTTTCCCATTCTTCCTTGCAAAACAGCTCGAGCTCAGTGAGGTTGGATGGAGAGCGTTTGTGAACAGCAGTCTTCAGCTCTTTCCACAGATTCTCGATTGGATTCAGGTCTGGACTTTGACTTGGCCATTCTAACACCTGGATACGTCTATTTGTGAACCATTCCATTGTAGATTTGGCTTTTTTTTTGGATCATTGTCCTGTTGGAAGATAAATCTCCGTCCCAGTCTCAGGTCTTTTGCAGACTCCAACAGGTTTTCTTCCAGAATGGTCCTGTATTTGGCTCCATCCATCTTCCCATCAATTTTAGCCATCTTCCCTGTCCCTGCTGAAGAAAAGCAGGCCCAAAGCATGATGCTGCCACCACCATGTTTGACAGTGGGGATGGTGTGTTCAGGGTGATGAGCTGTGTTGCTTTTACGCCAAACATATCGTTTTGCATTGTGGCCAAAAAGTTCGATTTTGGTTTCATCTGACCAGAGCACCTTCTTCCACATGTTTGGTGTGTCTCCCAGGTGGCTTGTGGCAAACTTTAAACGAGACTTTTTATGGATATCTTTGAGAAATGGCTTTCTTCTTGCCATTCTTCCATAAAGGCCAGATTTGTGCAGTGCACGACTGATTGTTGTCCTATGGACAGACTCTCCCACCTCAGCTGTAGTTATCTGCAGTTCATCCAGAGTGATCATGGGCCTCTTGGGTGCATCTCTGATCAGTCTTCTCCTTGTTTGAGATGAAAGTTTGGAGGGACGGCCGGGTCTTGGTGGATTTTCAGTGGTCTGATACTCCTTCCATTTCGATTGAATTGCTTGCACAGTGCTCCTTGAGATGTTTAAAGCTTGGGAAATCTTTTTGTATCCAAATCCGGCTTTAAACTTCTCCACAACAGTATCTCGGACCTGCCTGGTGTGTTCCTTTGTCTTCATGGTTCTCTCTGCGCTTTAAACAGAACCCTGAGACTATCAAAGAGCAGGTGCATTTATACGGAGACTTGATTACACACAGGTGCATTCTATTTATCACCATCAATCATTTAGGACAACATTGGATCATTCAAAGATCCTCACTGAACTTCTGGGGTGAGTTTGCTGCACTGAAACTAAAGGGGCCGAATAATATTGCACGCCCCACTTTTCAGTTTTTTATTTGTTAAAAAAGTTTAAATTATCCAATAAATTTTGTTCCACTTCACGATTGTGTCCCACTTGTTGTTGATTCATGACAAAAAATAAAACATTTGTATCTTTATGTTTGAAGCCAAAATGTGGCGAAATGTTGAAAGGTTCAAGGGGGCCAAATACTTTCGCAAGGCACTGTATATGTATCTGTCTATCTATCTAGCAACGCTTCCGACCGGCAAAGACCAAGACTTTTCAATCTCCTTCCTCTTCCGGATCATCTCTGCACCTTCAGCATTGCAAAAAGTGGTGAAAAAGAAGTCAAAAATGGCTCAAATTTGGAAAAATGCATCTTAATTCGAGCACATTCTCAGAACATTTGCCAATGGGACAAAGCAAAATGATCTTGTTTAAAAAATCCAGGACATTTCTTCCTTGGAAATCCAAAGAAATCAGACTAAATGTCTTTGTCCCATTGGAGAATTTCAGAATATGCCCGGATTTAGATGAAAACCACTCGATTCTATCCGTTATTACCTCATATTTAACCATTTTTTTGCAGTGAGCTGTTGCTAGGTCAAACTTATTTCCCCGCTGACTTAATAACGCTAAATCCTGTCCCGTTTATTATGCGTCAAATATCCGTTGATGCGATTATAGAGCGTACATGTGCTTCACGCTGGGTTTTAGATCCTTCTTTTGCCCCTAATTGTCCTGCTTTGATCCAACGACTTCTCACCGAGGAACCATGGCCAAAAACAATTTGCTGTCACCTGCAGAGAGATCGGCATTAAAATTTTGCTTATTCTATTTGTAATTATTCCTACATGGGACATTTGAAATAAGACTGCCATGTAAAGCACTTTGATCATTACTCCAAACTTCAACATTTTGCAGTTATGCTACTTTAAGCTGGTTATTCGTGAGGCTAAAATTGCACCCGTGGTCCTCCCGCTCGGTCGGACATCCTGACAAACCGGCGTGGATTGAAAAAAAAAAAAAAAACCCAACCGGCGTCTGGACTAATTGAAATACCCCGCGCCCTGCTGCCCAAATGTAATTATAGCATCATGTATGGGCACCGGAGAAAACAAGTACAACAAATTGAAATTTTAAAGTGAAATCTAAAGTGTCTCCAGCAGAGAGCGGAGGCTGATGGCGCTCCCGGGGATCCGCCGCCGTCACGTGACCCGTGCGCACGTCCAGGCTTTGCACCTCCCTCAAAAACAAGACGACACGAAGCGGATCAGAAAGGTTTAATTCACCTCAAAGGAAATAATGGTTCGGTTTATACGGCGATGCAAATGAAGATGTTGTTCATGCACTGACGCAGATGAAAAGCAGTTTCAGAAACCGTCCCTCGTGCCTCGTTCCTGATCTGTTTTTTTATGTTGATTGATTAATGATGATTGTAATAATGTGTTAGACTGAGCAGAACAGTGGAGGAAAAGATATTTAATATAGTTTTATTCTATTTGAAGCTATATTTTAACAGGAATTGATGTCATAAATTAATCCCACTGCAAAAAGTGAGGAAAAACACGTAAAAAATGGCTCAAATTTGCGCCAAATGTATCTCAATCTCAGCACGTTCTGACGGTCTCAACCTTTTAATATTCACTCATTGAAGAACGCTATGCATATTTTTCTTTTTTGGATTGTCTAATATGTAGGACACTATTAACATAAATATTTAGTTTTACCTCTAATTTTTTGTTCATCATAGGCCTTTACTAGAGACGCAGTTTGATGTAAATGTGCCTAAAAGCAAGCGAGTTAAAATAGTGGCTAAGGTGATCTCCCAAATGGTCGAAGTCAGCCGACTGCTTTACACTGATTGGCCGACGAGTGACGTCACTGAAAGTGCGACGATCTACACTGCGTTAAACAAAACTCATCCTGCTCTGCGAGTGCGACAACACGTACTCCTCAGGTCACTCAAGAAAAATGAAATCATGAAACTCTCTTTACACAGGAAAAAACCCCTTGAAAATAATATATGAAAATATAGTGAAATATTGTTAGTGTATAATAAGAAATATTATCTGCCAATGGAACAAAAAAATGACTTATGAAACAAATAAACTTGCTTGCCTTACACTGGCAATTAAAATAAATATGAGTCTGATAATTATGTTTGAGGCTCGGAGTATCCAGCCTGAGCTCCACAGGACGACAGAAAGTTTATTGTCGTTTATTCTCAATGTGTGCGATTATTGATCAGTATCAAATAATCAACATCGAAAGTAAAGAGGTACGTCCTGTGCAGACTCTCATTAACAAATAATTTTTTTATGGACCTAATTTCTCTCTAATAAAACATAATCCCATTAAGTACAACGGGAACAGGCAAAGTTAATATTCAAGTGATGTATGAGAAATTATCAATAAAATCTCTTTATTATGCTAAAGCTAGAGGTTTCGCTTGAATTTAATTATACTAAAATTAGTGACTGCTAATGCTCGCCTGTCGTCCCTGGTTACGCTGGTTTTAGAGTTAAAATAAGTAAAATAAAAAACACAAGAATCCAGAGTAAATGACAATATTGACCAGTGTATGTGCGTCTGTGTGTGTATATGTGTGTGTATATACTTATGCGTGTGTGTGTATATACTGTATGTGTGTGTATATATGTGTGTGTGTATATACTGTATGTGTGTGTATATATGTGTGTGTGTATATATGAGTGTGTGTATATATGTGTGTGTGTGTATATACAGTATGAGTGTGTGTATATACTGTATGTGTGTGTGTATATATGTGTGTGTGTATATATGAGTGTGTGTATATATGAGTGTGTGGATATATGTGTGTGTGTATATATGAGTGTGTGTATATATGAGTGTGTGTATATACTGTATGTGTGTGTATATGTGTGTGTGTATATATGTGTGTGTGTATATATGAGTGTGTGTATATATGTGTGTGTGTATATATGTGTGTGTGTATATATGAGTGTGTGTATATATGTGTGTGTGTATATATGTGTGTGTGTGTATATATATATATATATACTTATTTTATGGAAGACGGAGAGATCAATGGGGTTTATTATATCTTCATGGCAGAGGCACGGCCAGTTTATTGGTATAGCACAGTTCATACACACGGCACAATGAAAGTGCAAGGTTGATTGGTACATGTGGCCTTACCTGCAGGTGAAAGCAAGATCCTGTCAGACCTCTGAAGCTAAGCAGGGAAGGACCTGGTTAGTGTGATGGGAGACCTCTGGGAAAATACCAGGTGCCACAGTGGGGCGGCTGCGGCTTTAAAGAGCCAAATTGTGTTTGTGTTAGGCAAGACACTTCACCCACATGGGCCTGGTGTGTGTGTGTGTGTGTGTGTGAATGGCTGGTGGTGGTGGTGGGAGGGGCTGATGGTACAGACTGGTTGCCTCGCTTGTGTCAGTGTGCCCCGGGGCAGCTGTGAAATGGAGTGACTGAATAATGACATGTGAGGCGCCTTTGAGTGTCAAAAAAAGCGCTGTAATGCATTATTGTTATTTTTATTGATGAATCTGAAACGCTGCCCCCCCCCCTTTACACCTCCAGCCCTCCGCCAGCAGCCTGGGCGCTCCTCTCTCTCTCTCGTCGTGGCGTTCTGGGAGCTGTCAGCACGTCTCACGCTTCTCTCAGACTGCGGATGACAGCTGGAGGAGCAGGGAGCAGGACCAAGATGGCGGCGGCCGGACAGAGTGGCGACAGCGGCGCTCGCAGAGATGATGTCCTTACGTCGTCAACTTTTCACTGCTTCAGGAGAAAGAGGAAGATGGAACCGGAATGCACAGATACTATCCCAAAAGTGGGGACGGGTTTGGACTCGCTGTGAGGAGTTCAGAAGTGTCATGGTGCATGGTGTGAAGAGGGCCTCGTGTGTGCGTGTGTGTGTGAGTAAGTTTGTGTGTGTGTGCGCGTGCATATATGTATGTGTGTGTGTGAATGTGTGTGAATGTGAGTGTGAATGTATGTGGATGTATTTATGGTATGTGCGAGCGTGCATTTGTGTGTGTGTGTGCGTGCGTGTCTGTGTATGTTTATGTGTGCGTGTATGTAAGAGTCTGTGTATATGCGTTTATGTATGCGTCTATGTGTATGTATGTGCGTGTATATGCGTGTATATGTATGTGTGTGTGTGCGTGTATGTGTGCGTATGTGTGTGTGTGTGTGTATATATGTGTGTGTGTTTATGCGTGTGTGTATATCTGTGTGTGTATTTGTATATATGTGTGTGTGTTTATGCGTGTATGTGTGTGTGTGTATATATGCGTGTGTGTGCGTGTGTGTGAGTAAGTTTGTGTGTGTGTGCGCGTGCATATATGTATGTGTGTGTGTGAATGTGTGTGAATGTATGTGCATGTATTTACGGTATGTGCGAGCGTGCATTTGTGTGTGTGTGCGTGCGTGTCTGTGTATGTTTATGTGTGCGTGTATGTAAGAGTCTGTGTATATGCGTTTATGTATGCGTCTATGTATGTGTGTGTGTGCGTGTATGTATGCGTATGTGTGTGTGTATATATGTGTGTGTGTGTTTATGCGTGTGTGTATATCTGTGTGTGTGTTTATGCGTGTATGTGTGTGTGTGTATATATGCGTGTGTGTGCGTGTGTGTATGTATGTGTGTGCATGTATGTGTGTGTGTATGTGTGTGTGTGTGACTCTTGAAGGAGCAGGGCACATGTAGCAGCTTGTCCTCTATTTGTTTTTGCAGTGTCCTCGGGCTCCTGCATTAAAACGTTGTTACTTTGACTGGTGTTACCTTTATGAGCTGCTAATAAGGGTTGTGTTTCAAAAAGTCATTCAGGAGGTGTTCGTCAGCGCCGCTCCAGTCCATTTGGACACAATGATCACTTTATTTCGATAGTTTAGACACCAAGTTCAATTTACAATTCATAGAGAATTCATTGAGAATGGGACAGTGTGGAGATATATAGATATATAATTTGAGCACTTTCTGAATGCCGCAAAACAAAGTTGGCAAATGAGACAAGGCAAAATTATCTTGTTTAAAAAGATACAAAAAACGTCTGCCTTGGAATGAGAAAACAGAGCAACAGTTCTTGAAATAGCCTTGTCTCATTTTGTTTTAAGACAGAATGTGCTCAGATTAAGATAAAAATCACTAGATTTTATCAATTCTTACCTCATATTTTATCATTCTTTTGCAGTGTGAGAGCTGCCTCACAGTCTCACTCACAAACACACACTCATTCACAGGAAACCTATACAGACACCAGGAGAACATGCAAACAAGTTCCCATGTGGACTGCACTGTGTCTTTATGTGACATTCTGTGATCCATGTGTTTTATAAAATGTTTGGTGGATAAGATTAAGATGAAGATTCTTTATTCCCACAGCGGAGAAACTAAAATCTCTAACTTTAGCATCATCAAGAAGCAAGTATAAAATCTCTAACTTTAGCTTAATAAAGAAGCAAGTATAAAATCTCTAACTTTAGCTAAATAAAGAAGCAAGTATAAAATCTCTAACTTTAGCTTAATAAAGAAGCAAACCAGACCACAACCAACTTTACTGTCAGAACTTGTAAGTCCATGTCACCATTTGACTCTTTGGGTTGAGATTGGCAGCGAAAGTCATCTTCTCTTAAATCATTCTCTCAAAAAAAAATCAAAAAATGTGAGCCCCATAATCCATATTAGAAGAAGAGAAAGAAAGTATCTGTTCTGAGAGCCATGGACTGGTTCCTTGATTGATTTTTTAAAATTATTATTATTATTTTTTGCTTCTACCAAACACTGGCCAACTCATGTCCGTTCTTACCAAGACAAACTACCACCAAACTTCATTTTGAATTAGGATTTATAGCCGTCTAAATGTGTGCACAGACACCATCCATCACTGTCAGTGTTGACTCAGAGGCTCCTGGACTTGTGAATCACTTCAACAAGTAAAACACACTCTAATCTCCTCACAATTAAAATATCTCTGAGCGCTTGCGTTTCCCTCTGTCTCCGTGAGCTCGCCACTTCAGCCCGTGTTTACTTTTCCCCTGGCAGATAAGTGACGGCAGATCAAGACGCGCCGAAGCCGTTCGCGATGAAAGGTTGTGACTGGCGAGATGAAAGTTTGCGAATTCCAAGGCAAAAGCACGGCTCCGGTTACAAAGCGAGGTCAATCCACTTGCGGTGACTAGATTTTTAGCGATGAGGGTGTCGCATAGGTGAATGGAAACTCGCTATTTGAAGCTGTCAGCTGTCGTGACGTGCCTTGCGAAAAAATGGCTCCAGAACTTGTGACGAAATGTACGCTCGTAAAAAAAAAAAAAAAAAAAGGCCGAGTTTGATGAAGAAAGAGCTGATCGTGCGTGGAAGCCCTGGAACATACCAGCGCATGTTGGAAGGCAGGCATGTCCAAACTCAGGCCCGGGGGCTAAATGCGGCCCTCGGTGTCGTTCTATGCGTCCCTCTGCCTTGCTAACCAAAAGTAGTCTCGAAGAGCATAAACACAAGTTCACTTTGTGCAATTTCATCCAACTTCAGCTCAGCCAGTATAGACCAAGTTCTAAAGCCCAATTCGTGCTTTTGGGGGGGGGGCCTGGCCAGAGTTAGCCATGTAGGCTATTTTCAATCCGTCGTCCCATGGCAGGTTGACATCAAGACAGATAAAATAGGAAATTCAACAGGCACAAACACACAGAAACACACCATCACAAAGACATAACAAAACAGTATAGCATGAAACATGTGGTAAACAATGTAAAATAGACAATAAGTTATCACGGATAAAAGATCAGAGGGACAATTCTCAAAACACTACTATTGTCCACATAGCAAGGTATCAGTGGTTGTGACTTTTAGACCATATTGTGTTCACGTGTCTGTGATTGTCCACGAGCCACTTCTTTACAGAATTTTTAAAAGTGTGGATTGAAGTCTGGTTCCCCAGTTCTGTCGGGATGAAGTTCCAGGAGTGTGCTGCGGATACTGAGAAGGCAGATTGTCTAAATAAAGTATTTCTAAATGGGATTCTACAGTCTCCTCCGTTTGATTGTGTCACTTCTGTGTATGGTGCTAATGTAGCTGGTGAGATGGTAAAATCTTTTATCATTCAGCCAACTTCAGCTCAGCCAATATAGACCTTGTTCTTATTTGCACACACTGTAATGACGTGGTGTTTGATTGTGTCATTTCCGTTAAAGATGCAGTAAGCGATTTTGTTAGCGTAGCCGTAGTACCAACCGGAAACCACTCCCCTCTATAAAATGCATTTTATTTTCTTTGTCACAAAAGGGAGAGTGGGCGGCAAACGTGAAATTGGCATTTTCTGTTCAGCCATTATAGGTTTTTAGTAAATCCGATAACTCTGGTGCACTCACGAGAAACAGGAAGAGGGTAAAGGGGGTAAACTCATCCCATTGGTTCGTTGGAGATGAACGAATCCCATTGGTTGGTTTTTATCGGTCTGCTCCAAAATATTTTTTATAAATTTTTGTAGACTATCAGCATCTGGTCAATTCGCTTACTATTTGAAAACACATGATAACTTGATACTTTTAGCGTTTAGGGACGTTTTCCCACAATATTTTAAAAAAATGCGACTGGAAAAAAATCTTTGACTGCATCTTTAATGGTGCTACTGTAGCTGGTGAGATGGTAAAAACATTTGTCATTCAGCCAACTTCAGCTCTGTTGTAGATCACCATGAACCTCAGAACTCGATGCCAGTCAAGACAGTTTCCCAGTCCGTGATGTCGGCCCCTGGACTAGTCTGGTGAACTAAAGTTCAGACTCTTGCTAAAATGTTTGGACACCCATGTTGGAAGGACTTGTGATCTGCAGAAATATAATCTGTGTCTTTCCACCGAGTCTGAATATCTGGCCACCGTAACCTAAGGGGACGGAGGCTTTCTCTGCTGCTGCCATTGGCTCTACACTTCGCCTTCGAACGGTCCGCTCATAAACGTGTCAAGATTTCACACTTCGGGATCAAGAAGGAGAGAGGCGGCGGCCGTTTTGGAGGGGCTTGGCTAAAACATGCGTGCCGAGGGTCTACGCATGAGGCCCGAGTGCGTGTTACCTCCAGGGAAACCAGATAGGAGCAGCTTTATTAGCACCGACACACGCTAATTTATGTCCGCGATTGAAAAGAACCTGTTTTTATGTGAACGCTGACGCAGGTGTCGTGGGATTGGATTTCGCAACAAATATGGGTTTCTCCAGCTGCGACTGAACGGAGCATCTTATGGTTAAATGTTTATGTTTGCAGAGACGACTTCTAGTAACACAGTATTTAAAAAGTTGATGAATCCAACTTTAGTTTACGTGTCTCTTTTACGGATTCTTATCTGGAGTTGTTGATTTACAAATACAATTCAGTTCAATTCATTGTATTTTTTTTTTTAAAAACCCCAAATCACAACAGCAGTTTTATCAAGGACATTATAAAGCTGTCGATTCACCAACACAGATCAGAGAATCAAACCGTTTAACCACAGGAAATGCAATGATAAAAACACATAAGGAGCAGAGGCCAATGTTCGTAAATGTCCACAAATGTTGTTGAATGTGGAGTGTCCTTGATCATTTTTGTCCCTGCATCAGAGGAACAACTTTAAAAACCCAGAGGGAGGAAGCGAAAAACCTCAGATTTGACTTGACTCTATAATGATCTGCCAGTGAAAGACTTTTAAGATGAATTAATATCTTGTTAAACTTGTGCAAACTCGTGCAACTAGCAGTTCAGTGGAGAAACATCTTGTATGCC